AATATCTATTAAAGAAAAAATATTTTTCATTGGAAAAGTCCAGTGTATTCTAAAAGAATGATAAAACAGAGAATCAAAGTTTGAGTGGATTGCCTGAACATTGATAAAAATACGCTCATTAGTAGCGAAAAAGTAACAATTGCTTGAAAAATGCGACAGTCCTGTTAGGTCCATGGTAACTCAGTGGTTAGAGCAGACGCCCGGATTGCAAAAGGTCGTGGGTTCGAGTCCCATCTCAGAGTGCCAGAGACAAAGTGGTTTTTTAAACATTTTTCATTAAGAAAAGTAATATCTCGTTAGAAAATTTTAAAAGATGGCATGAAAATATAATAAATGAGAAAATTCATTTCTGTAAACACGAAATAAAATCGTGGTCCCTTTAACTCTATCTCTCTTATATCCAGATTCGACTGCTTAATATTTTATTATCAGCATTTATATAAATTGTCTCTAGGTTCTGAATAGTTATATTTTATACTATTAGGTACCTTAAAAGGATCTTTCTACTATACCATTTAATCACATTTAATTAAATATATAACTATCAATAGAAATTAAAATGTGTTTTACAAATATTATTCAATACTTTTATTTCTGACTAACCCGGTAAAAATATAATGAATGTTGGTTTGTACAAACTAGTAGAAATACTTGGAGGAATACCCCAATGTGTAATACATTTTGTGTGTGTAAGCTCTGCATTTTTTTAGATTTACCTTTTGCTTACCAACACTGAAATGCTAATGAAAAGGTTAAAATTAAATGAATAGATAATTAATTATAGTTTCTTAGATTAGAAGAATAAACCTTGAAAGTTATAAAAAAGAACATTCAGGTTTTTTGCACTGTAAGGCATTCTATTTTATCCATATTTACCGTGAACAATTTAAGATAATGCATTCCGGCAAAACTAACACCGTTGACAGCTGTCTTTTGCTAACGTTCACTTCCCCGTAACTCTTAAAAAGCCCAAAACTAGGTCATAATCTTAAAATGGGCCCTTAAACTCGCTCATCTATCCATATTCATTAACATTTAATATAATTTATTTTTCTGAAACTTTTCATCTTTTATAAACAAATCTTCAAATTTTATCATTTACTACTACTCTATTTGCTACCCCTATATATTGTTTTTTTTTTTTTTTTACTTTCCATACGCAAGCGATACATACGGGACCTCAGTTCTGCAAATGTTTTTTAAATCGCATCTTAATAAAGTAAATTATTAGCATTTCATTGTGCAGTGACTGTTGCAATGAAATTTCACCTCTTGATGCTGAACCTTAATTTTAAGTAGAAATTTTACATGTTGCGGTAATCTGATTTACGCGGGTGAAGTCGTGGGAAAAGAGCTAGACACCATATTCGTTTATTTTGCTCCATCTACTATATCACTCTCCAAAAAAACTTTAAATACTTGGTTTAAAATTTTATCAAAAAACCAAATTACAATATTTGCAAAAATGAGTAATATTTCTGTTAGATTACATATAGATAATAAGTACGGATATAAGTCACAAAAATAATCAATAACGAAGCAAAAGATAAGATAGGAACGTGTTACTGTTTATCATGCTATAATGTTACAGTTGTGTTTCAAATGATTTGTAGTCGACTACTAGACCAAAATAATAAAGATGCAAGAGATATCAAATATGAACGAGAGAACTGTGAACAGGAAACATTTTCTTAAGCTGCACGAAAGAATACAGACAAAATATCAAGAAATGCAGAAACGTCTAGAAAAATCCATGTCTGTAGATTCACTATCCACAGCTAGTGATGATTTCAGCTATAAAGAGAATAGATATTCAAGTGATTGTGATTTAAGGGTGTCTGTAGAAATATCCATGGATGAAAATGAGACACACAGAACTGTAAAGCAGCCGATGACAGAGAAAACTATTACACAAAATGCAGTTTCGCAGTCTATAGAAGGTTTGGACGTACGATTTGCTGATAGTGAAGTTAATATAAATGAAGAAAATATAATTACAGAAGAAGAATGGGAGAGAATAGAATATGATGATACTATCAATACATGTCCAAGTTTAGAATCGTAAGTTTTTATTTTAATATAACTCGTACAGTTTTATCTAAACTAATATTTTAAATAACGAAGATTCGAATGTTAGTTTGCATTGAACACGCTCCGAAACTACTCGACTGATTTAAAAAAATATTACATGTACGGGAAATAACATCATACACGGGTGATATAAGACATAGCGCGGGTTAAGTCGCGAGTTAACAGCTAACAGCATTTCTTGTAATTTTAAGACTTTTCATTTACGGGGAATGCTCCGAGGAATTGTTGGGACTCATACCTGCCGCTAACTTCCGCCATCGTTCCACGCGACAAAAAAATCCACGCCCATCATTTGTATGGTTGGAAGTCCTCAACTTTGCGTTTTTCTAGAAGTTTCCTGCCCTGCCAATCAAACTCTGGAACAGTTTGTCGCCAGCGGTATTTCCGAACTGATACGACCTTCAAACTTTCAAGTGTAGAGTATATTCGTCCCTCAAAGGCCGGCAGCGCCCTTGTAGGGCTGCTCTGGTGTTGCAAGTGTCCATGGGCGACGGTAATCACTTATCATCAGGTGATCCGTTTGTTCGTCTGCCCCCTAACCCATAAAAAAAAACAAATATTCTTCCCTTGTCTTTAATGTCTATAAGATTATTATTTGCAAGGAATAATTATAAATAATACGTAAGGTTATGATCTGCTTTTTTTTCCTAGAAAAACTATTTTTTGCTTAATTGCTGAATAAATAATATACTTCTAATAACTTATGAGCTTATTCACAAAAACACGAAGATTTATACTAATAGTAATAAGTAAAAATATGAAAAATACATTTCTTTACATTTAATTATTAAACTGAATCACCATGTAGTTGATGACGTGAAGATATAGAAATATTGAACATGATAATTCAAGTTAATAATGAATTATTGGGTCTGATAAGTTTTTAAATATTTGCTATTTGATGAGAAACAAAATAATGTACGTCCGTTATGCTGAAAAAGCCCTATATATATTATGCCCTATTAACAATATAAAATAAAGCGAAATTTCATTTCATACTCTTTTTAAGAGGTTTTTGCAAAATTCGTAAGAACGCTACAAAAAGATTCTATGATCCTTTCACGATGTTTGGGGCCGACGACGGCGATTTCAATCAGGAAAATCGTTTTATATTATTAAGGACAGTCAAGTTGTATATTAAATCATGTTAAAAACAACTTTGTAACCATTTATATAAGTAACTGATATGATGCCTTAAATACGTATACGTCGCTTATCAATCATAGCATTCGTTTTTTAATAATTTACTTCCAATAAATCTTCGTTAAAGGAAGTGAACTTAAACTAATATGTTATTTTAATTTTAATATGTAAATATTTAATTTTTTATTTATTATACAATATATCGATACAGATGTCGAAATTTCCATATGAGTTCTTTTGACTTTCAAACAGTGTATGTCCAGTATTTCAAGTAAAAATTTATAGGTTAACTAAGAATAATATCCATAATTACGTTTATATAAATCTTAGAAAAGAATTCTTCACTTTTTTAAACATAAGTTACTACTGTGCTTCATGTGGATTACACACGCATGCACATGACTATAATGTGCTTCTTACACAAGTCGTAAAAAAAAAAAGTTGATGACATCATAGCTTTGAAAGTCACGTAAATTGCGCAGTACAAACCCCAAACGTTAAAAATACATCTAGAACTTTCGTAGTGTTTGTGCGAGTTAAAATTTAACCATTCAACTTATAATTGCACTTAATAGAGCTGCGTTGATGGCTAAAAGTCCTAACAGAACACTTATTGACGTTATACTCCTTGCTATTAATCCTTATTCCATTCATACAAGGCATCAACATATCTTTAAAAAAGCTGAGACTTAAGATCATCGGTATAGAGAAGGCATTTACTGTTTCTATTAAGATAATGATTAGTTTCGTTAGTGAAATAGTCTTACCACAATAAATTTTGTAGCATTTTAATAACGATATGTCACTATAACATATATATGTTGCACAAAATACCATTAAAATTTATACGAGTTTAAGCGTCATTACCCATACAAATTTTACATTCATTAGAGCTTAAAAGCGTCATTAAACCTTAATGGACGTTTTTGCAACTAACCGAACGATATTCAAATTCTTATTTTAGTAGTATTAATATTACCACTATTCTGAAAATACTTGACTTGATTTCCAAAAGATTTATAATGCATTTTTCAACTTTTTAGACTCAATGATTTTAGTACATACAGTGACGATAGCATTGCTGGCCACGTACTACCACCAAGAACTATAAGAAATCGTATAGAGTCTCATTTTAACGCAGTCAGAGAAAAAAAAGAACGAAAGAGACTCGAAAAGGAGAAGTTAGCGAAGAAGAAAGAAATTAAAGAAAAAAAAGAAACATTAGAGCAAGTTGAGAAGGTATAATATCTAGTCGAGTATTGTCGAACTTTGCGAAAGATGAGTTTTTTTATATTAGAAACAAAATTAAAAAGCTTATTCAATTTTATCATTTTGATTTTTGTAGCTCAATAATGGGTATTGGCCGAAACCATATCGATCGAACGTCGATAATTTTTTTTAAAAACAAACAAAGAATAACTCACGTTATGGTTTTAAAGTAGTAGTTTAATACTTTAATTTTATAATTTATAAAAATTAATTACTATAAAAACTTGTAATGGTTAGCAAATGCAAGTAAACCTTGATAATGGGGAACAAAATATAATGCTTGACGTGGAATTTACAGTATCTATAGCTAGACAGTAATAATACGATTAATGTACTTTCTTTGTCTACATTTTTATGATAATAAAAAACATTTAGAATTTCATGTGTCAATAACATCAATAACAACTCTAGTAATGGTCATATAGCCTAGCTCCCATAATATTTTTTTAGAATTTTGAAATAATTAAGCTTCTTTTTTTGTTGGCAGCTTAAATATTTGGCTATTTTTATTAGGGATAAGGATAATTTATGCTGTGCTGGTATAATTTCAAGGTATTCTTTAATCGATTTCAGTTCATATTGAGCAACTCCGCGAAAAATATATCTCAGACTAGGATGAGTCGAAAGAACAAGGTAGCAACAGTAACAATAGCCTTGATAGATGCAACTATAGATGACAAGTTACGATTCCTACAGTGTCGATTTAGGTAATATATCATATATTTGATTATCATCATTGCCTTACGATGAATACTTAATGGCGTATTGGCGTAAACATATTAGAATTGTTTTAAACATTACGTTGTATATTTTTTTAATAATTGTTATATTGGCTAGGTTAATATAAAAATATTTAAATTTAATGTTTAAGTTCAATGTATTTTTGGCACTTTTTATTTTTCAGATTGGGAGTAGAAAAATGTAAATCAAAAGTAGTCAAATCCAATTCTCCCAAAGTGAAATGGCAAGAATTGTTTAATTTAAACATGTATGAGGATCAATTCATGTTAGAAACAACTTTATTGGATAAAGACGGATTTCTAGGCAGGTAATTTAATTTAGATAAAAAAATCCTCTGTCAATTTTTATTGGCAATGGAGACGATTCAATTTTTCAAAAATATTATACTTATAAATTAATTCAAATTAATTTTGTGTTCCATTTTTGATAGTCGTTGATTACCTTCCTAAAGCACATCAAATTTAACACATATAATAATTTATTTTTTGATGCTTTCGAAGATGACGAGATGAGATTATAAGAATTTAAAAAGACTAGCTTCCTGGACAGTTCTATGTAGAAAGCATTCAAACAGCAGCTTATCTTTTGATTAAGCTTTGTTAACTAGAACGTGAACTCGTTACTTTGATCCGGGCAGCTATAATAATATAAGTCAAATTGTTTAAAATAGCATTTTCATATTTTTTTACAGAAATCTACTTGATTTGTCTGCTCTTGAAAAAGAGAAGACGCACCAACTGAAATTAGACATAGAAGGAGATGTCGCCGATGTCAAAATTTTTATTTTACTCACTATCAGTGGCACTCCATTACTAAATACGGTAACTGAATTAGAAGACGTCAACAATGCCCAAAAAATACTAGAAGTAAAGGAAGAAAATAACTCCACAGAAGTAGGGTGGCTCTCGGTGATAGTTTTTGGAGCAAAAGGTCTCTGCGCTCAGGATTGTTACTGTGTGCTAAAACTAATAAACAACAGACTCCAAACGCATACAGAATACAAAACATGTGATCCTAGTTGGATGAAAATATTTACTTTGTAAGTTAATGTACTATTTCAATACCAAATGAATAGAAGACAGTATTATTTCCAAGATCGTATCAAACTTGTTTAAGATAAGAATTATAGGTAATGTTGAATCATTTGAGAAAATAAATATAGAATTCTCATTTTTCTTACTGGTAAGGTAAAGTTGAAGTTTTAGGAAATGAGATGAAAGTTATCTATGTAACTTTTCCATTTATTTTCCATGGACCTATTTGTAGTTATCAAAGTAGTCAACAGAGTAAATATTTCATGGCTAGTGAAACCTATCATTTTTGTTGCGTTAGATTTTTTAAGATTAGATTATTTTTCGCAAAAAGGCAGACAAAGGCAATTTTAGATTAAGACCTGGTTTTGGTAATTTTAAGAGTAACGAGGAAGGGAACATTTACTCATAACAATTGCCAACGGTGTTAATTTTGCCGTAAAGTAACATTGCAAAAACCGTTCACGGTAAAGAAATATATTTGCATTTGCTGTAGAACGCCTTTAAATGCCGAGTCTTTTGCTTCTTGATCATAATTTGAAGTAAATAGTACAATTTAACCCAAATATAACAAACTTAGTGTTTCACTTAAATTAAATCAAATACTCAATTCATTGATACTGTCACGTAGTAATTTATTCTTATTTTCCAGCGAAATAACTGATATAACGTCAACACTTGAAATCTCTATAGTTGATGAGAAGAAAGTTGAAGAAGTAGGTAAAATTTATGTTCCCCTATTCCGTATAAAGAACGGGGTAAAAGTTTGGTACGCTCTCAAAGACCACACACAGAGGGAACGCGCTAAGGGGAATAATCCGAGGATTCTATTGGAAATGAGGACCTCCTGGCATCTCGTGAGTGTAAACCTCTTTTATGAATTCGCTAGTATTCTTAGTCGGTTCTTTATGAAGGTTTGTGAGATAACTAGAATATAATTCAATTATATTGTTCTATTCAACTATTAACGAAGAAATAATTGTGTCACTTGTTTTATTCAAACGTCGTAACTTAAATGTTTTTAATTAGTTAAAAGACTAAAATATCAGAAGTAAACTGATTATTTTACATACAATATATAAGAGTAGTTACACTTATACTTCTTATGTTGCAATGACAAAAAAAATATGCTTAGCTAATAGTGTGGTAAGATGATTTAGCACTAACATTAAAGACTCTAGTAGCTACGTTTTAACAATTTAACCTACAGGGATATCTCCAGAATCGAATCACTATGCGCCTTTTTTTAAACAGTAGCCCAAATAAAATAATATCGTTTATCCTAAAAAGTTTAACCATTAATGCAACATTTTATGAATTTGGTAACTAACTCGTAAATTTTAATAGATACAATACAGTGAGTCATCAGGATTATATATAAATTATTGGGGATATTTACTCTGAATAATATATCAATAGATAAAGAAGGTTAACATTATTTTATTATTGATAAAAATAATAAAACCGAAATGATAACACCTTCTATATGATTTCAGACTAGAGCTGCGATACGTATGGTAAATCCTAAAGAAACAGACTTGTTGGCAACTAATGTTAAGGTAGATCGTCGTTTGTTTGCGAGAAATATCAATAGAGCCAGGGTGGTCACAAAATGGACTTTGGACACGCTTAAACTTATAAAGTAAGAAGTAGGACTAATAATTCTTAATACATCTCTGTCTATCTATTTATTTATCAATTTTAAGAGCTCAATTATTCATTCAATCTATAATCACAGATTTTTTTTCTTATCTTGACTTTATCCGTGCTTCTGAAGGGATCTTTAGCATTGTTTCTGTTGGCACCCACTAATCCGCATTAGGTTATAGTAGCACGTTCTCACTTCCTCGATATACACGTCAGAGTACCAGAACATATCCAATTTCCTCAAATGATTTTGATCTCGATATACAATGTGTTAAGGTTTAAAATCAAGTTGAGAAATTTGACCAATTAACGTGCTGTTTATAGGGAAGACCACGACATACTAACACCATGCTAACACGATACAGCGTTTAAAAAATCTCTAATAGCCAAAAATGCAGAGTTCGATTCTAAAGCCGATCCAGTTAAAAAATAAACTTGTCTATATCGTCTCGGGACAATCCATCGTAATTGCGTATTGCAAGACAGTCAAGATAATTACAAAGGACTAGATTAAATACTAAGCCCTATAATAAAAAGAGAACAATTGTTTAAAATTACCTGACTAGGCGAACTTCGTATCGTCATATTTTTTTTTTCTCCAGTCTCGACAGAAGAAATTTAACCCTTCGCGTAAAATCAAAATAAGGTACGTCGGTTGTTTGTCAAAGATCGGTTAGTCTTCTGTCAAATACCGTCAGTCACTTTTTGTATTAGTTTGTAAAAATTAATTCTGATAAAATCTATATATTACTTTCTTAATTTTTTATATACATACATTGTTTTGGCATTATATAACACGTAAAAAAAGAGAACGCCTCTTCTTATTCTTATCTTTTAAGAGCTCTAGCTCTAGACGCGTTTTTTACAACGCGTCTTTGATATAAAGACAGAAAATAGCGTAGCACATTAAAAACAATTTTTAATAAAAATACCAAAATAACAATGACTTATAACAAATCGTCATTGCTAAACTATTATGAGTATTATAAAAATAGACCATAAACTTGGCTACGAATTGACATATTTATAAATTTTCTCTTTAATCCACCATATAAGTAATTTAATGAATAATAAATTACTAATATTACTAAAATGATCAATTTATATGTAGATATATAGATAACTTCTTTATTTGCATTAGTTTTGCATTGCATTTTTTAGTTGCACACATATTCGTATATATCTGTAATAATATTTTAAAAAGTTAAAATTTCACTGTTTAATTGTTTTTTTGCATTGAATAGGCTCCGAAGCTACTGGAATGGTTTGGAAAAATGAAAAAATTATAATCCTGCATCATCACTGACGAAAACAGGGGTTAGAATATTTGCTCTTAAATATATCTATTTTTCAGAACATGTTTTGAATGGGAGTCCAGAAAATCCAATGTGACAGCACTTATCATCTGGATAATATTTTGTTATTTCTTCAAAATATGGATGTTGCCGCTTCTATTACTAATACCATTTATCAAATATAGGCCGCAAAAATACGTCTTAATCAATTGTAAGTACATCCTACTTCAAATGATAACACTTCCGATTTAATTATAAACCCTGTTATCTGGAAAACATTCAATATAATCAAATGACAGGTAATGAAATAATTAAAAAAATGTAGTAAAAAAGATTACAACGCTATTTGTTCCGTCTCATGCTGTATTCAATTATTTTAATCAATGTGTTTATATAAAAATCACATAATTCATATAACTTGTCAAATTATTATGATTCTATGAAATAAAATATTTTAGCTACTAAAAGTTCCATGGTCACAGGAAATTGAATATTTCAAATATTTAGTACCTATAATAAAATAATGATAGTGAAAATCTTAAGTTCAAATGTATTAAAATCAAACTTAAATATCAAAACACGAATCGCGTTCGCCAAGTTATATGTTGCTACGAGTAGGTATCTATTTATTACTGAATGCATTTCTTTAATCGATTAACTTAACTCGTTACATAAAGAACTTTTCGCTTTACTATTGCAAATAATTTTCAGTTGAATTTCAACTTTCAAAAAGTGACAAAATAAGGTCTAATACGTAAACAAAATAAACTGAATGCAATTTGAAATATAATATTTACATCAATATTATTTTGCATTTTCAGGGAAAAAGTTTTTTACGAGTAACAAAAACGAAGGCGTATTAGTGTCCGTGAAAAACGAAAAGGTTAGTTTTATTAAATACTAGCTGTTCCTGCGACTTAGCTTTACCTGCGTAGCTTGCCGTCATGAATTCTCAAAGAATTCTTATGATCGGATCAGTATTTCCGAAAATTACCCCCTACAAACAAATAAACAAATATTAACTTAAACTCTTTATTAGTTAGTATAGAATTGATTTAATAATTAAAAAAAAAACTCTACAAAAGAACAAGATACTCTATATTCTGCACAGTCAAGTCTAGTTTTTGCATTGAGCTATTTATGTCGGTACATCGTTGTGTCAGTGAATGATTATAGAGACAAAAATTGTAACTTAAATTGGTACTAGGAATAATCCCCACTATTTATATTTATAAACATACCTATATAGATAGCATAGCTACATATAAATAGGTAGTAAATAAGTGGGAGCTCATTATCTAGCCTGGTGACTTGTTCAAGAGTCTCAACCCCAAGGAGAGAGTACATTGTATGGTTAATGGGTATGGTTCTGGGCATCAGGTGGGTTCACGGAGGAGCATGTGACATTCCCTGTCACTTTCCAGAGAACAAAGAGTGCTTAATGCATTTAGCGGACGCACGAAATAAATCGTGAAAAGTATTCCCTAATTGTATAAGAATTTTGTAAATATACAAAATATATTTTAATTTTAGACTGAAATAAGTTTATGAAATCTAATTATATCATATTTTTATCAAGGAAACTTTTCTATTTTCAGGAAGAAAAGTCATCCCTGAGGCAGAAAATTAATAGTTTACAAGAGCTTTTGCAAACATTACAAAACAGCATAGGAAAAGTAGCGAATATTGGTGAAAGTGTGAAAAAGTATGAATGATTTTATAGCATGTCATATTTCTATAGGGAAAGTTATCGTTAAATATTTTATTCGATATAAGTTTTTTTTTTAATTTATGTGTGTCTTGATTGTCTAATTTTAAAATTGATCACAGTCACTTTCAATATAACATTTAAAAGATATTCACGGACTACAACTATTTGTGTGACTACATGTGATAGATTAAGATCGTGCCTTTTTTTCGATTGCGACTATAAACTTTACATAATTCTAAAAATACCTATTGAAATGGATTGCAATAGATTTTGAAATTAGACTACAGATACCTACGATAAATTATATTAACGGTGATCGCATTTCTATCAGCTTTCTTATTCTTTTCTTTTGTTACTGACAAAAACGGACTGACAAACTAATTATATTTTTTTTTCTACCTCGTCATAATCCCTATTATATTTATAGAATTTATACATTGTTATATTTTTTATTTGTTTCAGTTTATGCAACTTTACTGTTCCATTTGTTAGTCTCCTCGCGGTTTTCTTAATTATCACAACATCATTAATTATGTATATCGTACCACTTAAATACATTCTCATAATTTACGGTAAGTAAAATCTTATTAATTTACTTATGTGGATATTCTTGACGAAAAATTTCTTAAAAAATCCACTTTGTAGTTGGCACTGAGATGAGACTCGAACCCTTTCGCAATCTGGGCGACTGCTTAAATCACTGATCTACCCAGGAGCTAACGAATTTTAATCTTTACGAGTATTATGACCATCCTAAGTTAACTCAATCATTTAATTTCAGGTATTCATAAATTTACCAGGAAAATACTTCGGCCGAATAGAATACCAAATAATGAGATATTAGATTTACTTTCTCGAGTGCCGGATGATGAGACTTTGGTATAACTATTTTTATGTTTACAACTGTATATCGAGTGGTACGCACTAGCGTGCGTCTCAATTCTACGTAATGATCGCGTCTCAATAGAGTATCCACTTTTGCCATTGTACTATCTACCTGAATTCCAATATCATCAGTGCAATATCTTTCTCACAAGTCAATAGTGATAGATATACATATATTATTTTGTGATTTAGTAACCATAACTGACTTTCCGTAATTACTTCAGTTAACATTAGCATTGCTTGGTTGGGATCTTAGAAATATATGTTATATTATATAATACTTATTATTATTAGTTGCTTTAGCTCATGTTTTGAACAAGATGTAAAATTTGTGAAGTAAGGGCTTGTAGAGTTAGTTAGGGCGTGTAAAGCTAAAACCGTGGTACTACACGAGATCTGATAAGTTTTTGACAGTGCGTTTTGATCTCAACTTGGCAACACTTTACATGAAAATGTTTTAATGGGATAATATAGATACTTTATACTAAGTTTACTAAACACTGTTTGGATAATTTATACTTTTAGGAAAACCTCAAATTTGTAACGAAAAGAAAATATAAAGAAATCCTATTAATATTATAAATGTGAAAGTTTATTTGTTTGAATGTTGGTCCGTCAATCACGCCGAAACTACTGAACGGATTTTGATGAAATTTAGTATACAGATAGGATATTAGCTGACTTAGATAATAGGATTCTTTTTATCCCACTAAATAGTTCCCTAGGGACCACACAGGCGAAGCCGCTGGCGGAAAGCTAGTGAATAATATAAGTGATTATATGCCTATATTTTTGTTTGCACTACGAATCGACAGCATCACAGATAGCTTCATAAACCTAGTAGAAAGTAACTATGCAGAGTATAAAGCAAAGTTGCTTTACGTTGAAATCTTTTAATATAAAGAGTACCTCATCACATGGTTTTGTAACAGGAACACTCTGTCTATACATATAAAATATTATTTAAAAAAAAAATATTAAGACTGTCATCTTACTCTCTTGTTTGCTTTCTGTCCAATAAAATCTTTAAGAAACCTTTACTACAACTAATAATTTAGTGGTTATGGGCCCTCCTTCCACCAAATCTTCGACCATCGTCGATATTGTAACGTCTTCTAGTTCAACGGTCGCAAAATTGAAAGGACGTGAAAATTACAACAACTGGTGCTTCGCCATTAAAATGGTACTAATTGATGCAGATCTTTGGGACATTGTAACACAACCTGAAATAATGCGTACGAAACTTACATCCCAAGAATTTCAGCGAAGCGATCAAAAAGCGAGGTCCAAAATTTGCCTTAATATTTCAGAAAGTGTTTATCCTATTGTGATAAATTGCGACACCGCTGAGCAGACGTGGAAAACTCTACAAAAAGAATATGCTGATAGTAGCCTAAGCAGACGCCTATCGCTGCTTAAGAAAATGTTCAATAGCAAACTTGAGTTATACACAAGCATAGAATTTTACATCAATGACATTCGGGACACTCAACAAAAACTCTCGGCTATGGGGAAGCCCGTAGAAGATGAATTTGTTGCTGTAGTAATGCTTGCTGGATTGACTGAAGAATACTTACCAATGGTAATGGCTATCGAACATTCTGGAGCATCTATAACGTCGGATTTTGTCGCTACAACACTTTTAAAAGAAGAGCAACGGCGCGTGAATACCTCTTCCAACAACACCGTTCTTGCAACCTCGTCCAAAACTGTGTCGAAGTGTATTGTGTGTGCATATTGTAAAAAACAAGGGCATCATATTTCGAAGTGTAGAAAGCGTAATTCCAAAGTTGTAAATAAGGTTTCATCTAAAGTTAATTATACATCAGACATTACACTTTTATCATCTTTTTATTCATTCACAGGCCATAATTCTTCTTCCTCTTCCTTATTACAGGATTGGTTTGTTGACTCTGGTGCTACTAGCCATATGAGTTGCAATAAGGATTGGTTTACTGATTTACAACCTCTCCGAAAGCCAATTTCTGTAGCAAATAAAGAAGTTGTCTTCAGTGAAGGTAAAGGCACTGTTCATGTAAATATTTCTGATAGTATAATAAACATTTCTGACGTTCTTTATGTACCACAACTTTCTACAAATTTACTTTCGGTTAGGCAGTTAGTTCTGAAGGGTTTTGTAGTTATTTTTTCACCTAAAGGCGCAAGCATAATAAAAAAAGATGGGTGCAAAATATCTGGCTCCATACTTGCTACAGCCTCTAATAGTGCAGGTATGTATAAACTAAATGTCTCATCCATTCCATGCCGAGCATACGTAATGAATGAGTCTGCTTCGCTGTGGCATAGACGCCTAGGTCATCTTCACTACAAAGCCATGAATATTCTAAAAAACAAACACATTGGTGTCTGTTATTCTGACGTGATTTGTCAACGTCAAATCTGTGAACCCTGCCTTCAAGGAAAGTTGTCAAAAAAGCCATTTAAAAAGTCTGAAAGTAGGTCTAATAATAGATTAGAATTAATTCATACTGACCTCTGCGGACCAATGAGTACGCATACATGGGGTAATTCTCTCTACTTACTTACTTTTACTGATGATTTTTCTAGGAAAACTTTTGGCTATTTATTAAAAGCAAAAAGTGAAGTATTTGCAAAGTTTGTTGAATTTAAACATTTAGTCGAAAATCAAACAAATTTAAAAATAAAAGCTATCCGATCGGATAATGGTCGTGAATTTGTAAATAACCAAATGACTAGCTTTCTCAGGGAAAATGGTATCATTCATCAACTGACGGTTCCATACAATCCTCAGCAAAATGGCTTAGCAGAACGAGTGAATCGGACAGTCATAGAAAAAGCAAGGTCAATGCTTCAAGATGCCAATCTTCCTAAAGCTTATTGGGGTGAAGCTGTGAATACAGCTATTTATCTTAAAAATATTTCACCAACTCAAGCTTTAAACAATAGAATACCCGAAGAAGTTTGGTCAGGTAAACGTGTAAATCTTTCACATTTGAAAGTTTTTGGCTGTCTGGCTCATGTCTTAGTACCTAAAGAAAATCGATCTAAATTACAATCTAAGACAAAATGTTGTATTTTCGTAGGCTACCCAAGCGATAGCAAAGCCTATCGTTTCGTGGATCCTAATAATCCAAGGAGCGTTATTATTGCTCGAGATGTAGTTTTCTTAGAGGATAAGAGATACAATGATCCTTCATCCTCTAAACCTTCAAATGCCGTTGAAAACTCAACAGTTACTACAATTGAAGTCTCTGCACCTGCTCCTACTACTTCCAATGAATTACACTCTTCTACAGCCAGCCAAGACTCATCTTCTGAACCTTTTATAGAACCCATAACTTCACAGTCATCAAGTATTGAAGAAGTTCCGGATATGAATGAACCACAAATATCTGTAATACCAAGTCACAGTGAAAATGGGCAGCAACATCGTTATCCACGACGGGAACACAAACCTCCCGAAAAGTACGATGCAAGTGCTTATCTTGTTTCTCCTGACACCGAACCTGAATCTTTTAAGAAAGTGCAGGAAGATGTTCACAAGAGCGAGTGGATTGACGCCATGCAGTCAGAATACAATGCACTGATGAAATATGGAACCTGGATTTTAGTTGATAGACCTGTGGACAGAAAACCTATCAAGTGTAAATGGGTCTATAAAATAAAAAAGAACACTAGTGGGGAAATAGTGAAGTATAAAGCCCGATTAGTGGCAAAAGGTTTTACTCAAGTCTACGGTGTAGACTATGGAGAAACTTTTTCTCCGGTCGCTCGACTATCTTCTATTAGATTATTGTTTGCCTATGCAGTCAAGTGGAACTTACATATCGACCATGTTGACGTAGAAACAGCTTTCTTAAATGGTGATCTCGATGAAGAGATATATATGGAGCAACCTGAAGGCTTCGCCACTGAACCACATCGCAAAGTTTGCTTACTTAAAAAATCCTTGTATGGTTTAAAGCAAGCTCCGCGACAATGGAATAAAAAAGTATGTGAGACTATGGTCAATTTCTCTCTCACGCAGGCATCATCTGAACAATGTTTATACTTCAGAAGAGACAACAATAAACTTCTTATTGTTGCTGTTTTCGTTGACGATTTCTTTATCCTTTGCAACGATGATAATATGAAGAATCAGTTCAAAATTGAACTGAAGAAAAATTTCATCGTCAAAGATCTGGGACCAGTAAAAGATTGCCTAGGGATAAGAGTTTTCCAAAGCGATGGCAAAATAAATCTCGATCAAACCCAATACATAGATAAACTGATCGAAAAGTTTGGCATGTCTGATGCTATTCCTGTGTCGACACCAATGGAACCTGGTATTAAACTCACACTTCCCGGTCAGGACGATGAGCGGGTAGATCTCCCTTACCAGGAACTTGTCGGCTCATTAATGTATATTGCAGTTGGCACGAGACCGGACATAGCTTATACAGTCTCCTATCTAAGCCAATACAATACACATTACGGGGAGGCACACTGGAGAGCCGCCAAACGTGTACTAAGGTACTTAAAAGCCACGCGACAACTTGCTCTTACCTACACTAAGGACCAAACTCATCTTGTGGGATATGCTGACGCTGACTATGGCAGCAACATTGTAGACAGACGTTCCTACACAGGCTACAGTTTCAAGCTTAGTGGTGCAGCTGTGTCGTGGGAGTCACGCAAACAGCGTACTGTTGCTCTGTCCACCACTGAAGCAGAATATATGGCTCTCGGAGAAGCTTGTAAAGAAGCGATTTACTTAAAGTCCCTAATTAAAGAAGTGTTTAATAACGACCATTCCATTACCATTTTCACAGACAATCAAAGTGCACTGAAACTCACGCGAAATAACACTTTTCATGCTCGTACTAAGCACATCGATATCAGACATCATTTCATCCGTGACGCACTCACACAACACCAACTAAATATTGATTACATTCCCACTAACAGTATGATTGCTGATGTATTAACTAAGCCCTTGGCTAGACCTTCTCACTGTAAATGTGTACAGTCTTTAGGTTTAACTTAGGTTTAGTATTTTATTATTATTTTGGGTTTGTATTTTAAGGTGTATTATTTATTCAAGATGTCTAGGTAGATGTTAGTTAGTAAGTGTATGTACAGTGTAACTTTTGATATGTCATATTGCTTTCTCTTTATAGGTATTTGGATTACCTAAGTACAGAGTGTCCCTGTTACGGGGAGGTGTTAAACCTACATGGTTTTGTAACAGGAACACTCTGTCTATACATATAAAATATTATTTAAAAAAAATATATTAAGACTGTCATCTTACTCTCTTGTTTGCTTTCTGTCCAATAAAATCTTTAAGAAACCTTTACTACAACTAATAATTTAAGTATTACCTCATAAATGTAACAGTTTTACTGCTAGTGCTTTATTGTCTTAATTTTTATAATTTACAACTTTTTCAGCTTGACTGGGAAGAACTTCCATTAGAAAACATCAGCGATGAAGACAGTATATAATAAATTACCCACGTAGAATTCACCTATCACATAAATGGATGATCTGATCTTTTTAATACAATATTTGTAAACCCGTATACGCGTGAATAATATAAGTAATTTCTTGGACTTTGTAAATATAGTGATATAAATTTTTGCATATTTTTTTTATATTCCATCAAAGACTACTATAATAAACATCATATATTATATCTTCAACACACTATTGATATCCCCAATACTGGTCCACGAGGCTTCCCTATGGTAAATGGCAAACTTCCGATCCCAATAAATTTTGTACTTTATTCTGGAAACTTTAAGATTAAAATCACTTTGTACTGGACTTAATTACCCGGGCTACCTACAGAAAAAAAATAATGCATCAACAGACGAGATTTGCTATAAGAATTAGATACTCGTACTATACAAGATTTTTTTATCACAAATCTTTTAATATAGCAGAAACTGTCAGACTCTTGGAAAGTGTATAGATAAATAATTTATTTAATGATCATGTTATACGAAATTCATCCAACTAAATTAAAAGGCACATATAATCAGCTGTTTGATATTTATCTAAAGTATGAAGCCTTTTTTAATGAGACACATCTCTTCAATCGTCAGATACTAAGATATTTGATTTGTGGATCCTTGACTATTGATCCTGTTTAGAAAGTTAAGAATCTGATTGCTCAGCCTTTGAGAATGCTATATTTATTGTATGCATCACTTCCCGTCATAAGATCCTTACTTAAAATATTTGCAGAGAGTCACGTGAATAAATATGTGAGTCACATTTATTGAAGTGAATCTTTTGGTTAGTAAATTAAAAGACGGATTAACCACCAGTGACAGGTGAAATCTCCAATAGCAAACACAAATTTGAAGATACTGCATTCAAATTGCTTAAAGAACCTATGTAGGTAAGAAATCATCAAAATGGCTGACGATATATAGAAGATGAGCCTACTTCTCGAAGCAAAACGACAAGGGGCACTTATTATTGCATTGAAAGGATAGGTATAATATCCGTAACACATTATTGTAAACACCAATCTACAAAGAAAACAAACATATCAATCGCTTACATATATTTACGTGCCTTAATCAGCGATCTTATTTATTATATACGCAGTGATCTTCTCCAGAAAACCTTTGGATATAGAGATGAACTTTATTAAAATAAAGTTGCTGTTATCTGTTTTATTTGCCATAAAAATATGCATGCCAAGAGAATTCGTTAGTATGTGGCTTAGAAGTAGTTAGCATGTGGTATGGCACTAGAAATAAATAAATTTCGCTGTTAAATTTAATTTAATACCTAAATGGCGAACTAAAAATTATCTACGTTGTCTTTGAATAATTGAATGTCAAATAACTAGAACATTTGAAAAAAAATGAAAGAAAATAAATTATTATTTAAGTGTTCTGCACAGTGTAACAATCAATTATGACATTAGAAGCAATTTTCTGTTTAATGGAACTTGAAATTACAAAGTCAACTCTAATTTGTAATAATCTAATCTTGTAAATGATAGACAAGCCCAATATTTAACCGAAGTCATTATTAAGAAATAGCGTGTCTGATCTGCAACTATCCTCAGTTAAAATAGAGCGAGGTCCAAGTATTTAGAACCGCCCTACAGTTCACCGATCTAAATAAAACAATTACCTTTTTATCTATTCCGTGGATTACAGATTATAATCAGCTAGCATAAATAATCACCGGATTATTAAATTACTACTTACTTACTTACAATACTTATAATAAACTACCGTCTTATCATCTTCAATCTTAGTTTTACAACTATACATGTTTAATCTTATAGTTAGATTCACAATTCATTGATTTCATTAATTTAAAACAAGATAGAATTTGAATATAACATATAAAGTAATCTGTACAAGCCGTTATGGTTTTAATTATATTTATCATTTTTATTGGTCACTAGCTCACCCGGTGAACTTCGTATCACTTACCTCTTAATAAAAACCATATTAATATTGAAAAATATTGCGTAAACTGACCAATACACGACCATAAATATTGATCATCAAATGAACGTTTGACAGCTAAAAACAGTTTGTATGGGAAAATCAAATTGTCGTTTTTATTATTATACTCGCATTTTGTTATATTTTCTCATCGTTTAAACCTTCCCAGGACTTCAACAAATATTTCAAGACTAAAATTTGTCAAATCGGTTCAGCCGTTCTCGAGTTTTAGCGAGACTAACGAACGGAATTCATTTTTATTTATATATAGATTGTAGAAATGTTAGTATCTAACGTCGCGACGAGTCAGTATTGATCAACACCCAAGCATTCGTCAAACGCAAAGTTAGGTATGTTATTTTTGTTGCTCGGAAAAATCTGCTCAATCCACTTCTAAAATTGTAATAATTGCGTCAAGGAATCAAACACCAACTAAATTAGAACATAGTAATCTCTTTTCCATATTTTCACTTCAAGTAATGATTTTATGAGAACTCACGTCGATAATGCCAACATAATGCAGGATAGAGACAGAAAACCCCAGGAGATGTCCCTCTTCAATTGTCAAAGTGATGAACTGCGTGGTCGTTAATAATGTTAATACTCACGTGGTCAATGGCCAAAATGTGTTAACAGGGGACCAATCGGTCTATCATCACTAGGCTCGTATAAATTAATGTCTCCAATGATTCAGCGTGAATGGTTATTGATATTATACTAGAGAAGAGTATTGCTTTATGATTTATATTTTCATGTTACCCCGGACGTATTGAAATTAATTTTCGCAAAAGAGATTACGAATCAAAATTTGATGTTTGACAGAATTTCGGTACAATTTTACCTTCGTTAGAAGATTATCAAGTAAATGGGAAACAAAGCTAATACAATAAATTTCATCAAAACAAAGGATGATCGATAGAGTCAATTATTCTGCAATAGATAACAGATAATGAGATTAAATAAGCAACGACAAATTGTATATTTTAAAACATGTTTTATTTAAAAGCACATTTTTATATTTTAAAATTTATTTTAATATCACAATAACAAATTAATACATCCATTATCACTACATCTTTGAAATTTAATGTTATTCCAGCACGGCCTTCATAAAGAATGTTTAATATGCTCTTAACTCCATATAAATTATTAATCATAATACTCATTTCCTTACAATAATAGAATTCAATTACATAAAATAAATTATCTATACAAATTGTATAATCACAGGCCGACAAGTATGATGCAATTTTTACTTGGAATATAATAACACTTAGACTACTAAATCTTTGCCGAGCCTTTCGAACTCGTTAGCGAAATATACCATATCCTTGTGGTCCAAAGCCGAGTTTTGGAATACGATGCGGAAAAAGTTGACGAGGTCGCCTTGAGGTTGGTACGTGACCATCATGGTTCCTTCCTTTATCATGCGCTCTTTTATTTTTGGTGCAACCTTGTGCAACCTTTCTTCGAAACCTTGTTCGTTCTCTTGACCGCGGAGACACGTGGGTATGTACCAAAACATTACGTTCGTACACTCGGGCTTATCCAACACTAATTTGAACCCATCTCGTTGACGAATATGTTCCAAGAAGAAGTTCGCATTTTCAAAAAGAGAATCGATATGCTTTTCGAAGCCCTCGGTACCTTTTGCTTTCCACATGAACCAGAATTTGAGGACATCAGCGCGACGACCACACTGAATATGTTTGTCGCCAGTATCGTATGTGGTGTCATAGAACTTATCCTTCTGGAAAAGATATTTCGCATTCGAGGAATGACACTCCTTGAGGACTTTCTTGTGTTTTGTTAGGAACGTGGAACATTGCTGTGGTGCGGCTAACAGCTTATGAGGATTCCATGTAACTGAATCAGCCCTGTGGACAAAAATGTAACTGTAATAAACTTTTTATTTGCATAAAACACAAATAAAAACTTTTGTTGATATAAATGAATATAAAATCCCTAATTGTAATTTAAATTATTCAGTGGAGTTTGAAATTAAACAAATTGTCTTATAAAAACATAAAACAGAACCAATTGCAAGGTAAAACACTTTCAAGGATTTATTTACGCAACAGTCGAGATTTAGAACTACGATTACTTTGCATGTTAAACATATATACATATTATTAACAAAAATATTATTATTATGTAGATTATTACTATAAAATCTGTCACCTTGACGAGCTTTTAATTTTGTGCGTCTCCATGTAAGTAGTTTGAAATTTATTGATTAATTTATCCAATTTAAAAAGCAAAGAATCGAGAATTATGACAGATAATTAAGGAGTGATTAATCTTATAAACTTGGTTATTCTCAATATCTTTAATATTCACCCAAAAAATAATCAGTTCATTAGAATTATAGGTAATAATTTATTAGTTATTTACAAATCCTAAACGATGTGTTAACATCAATATATAAATAGGTAACAAAAATAAAACTCAGAAAATACTTTACCAAATAAATTGTGGCAAATGCTAGAAACTCATTAAAGCATAATTTACACTAAGAGAAACAGTATTAATACTTTCTGTGTGTTAATACTTACATATCGATACCATTCAAAAGGTGTCTGTGTTTCTTAGACATCAAGGCACCACCTCCCCAAGCAGCGTCCACGTGGAGCCACATATTATATTTTTTGCATAAATCCGAAAGTTGTACCAAAGGGTCAAATGCTCCAAAAACTGTAGTACCAGACGTTGCAGTCACCATGAAAGGAGTAGCACCATCATCTAACGCTTCATTAATCTTCATTTCTAGATCTGCTACATCCATCCTGCCATATTTATCGGCTTTTACTAAAATGCAATTATCGCTACCGATGCCCATAAAGGAAGCCAATTTGGGTGTAGAATAATGGGCAAGCTCTGATGTGAATAGAACCAATCTGGGAATAGCGTATACACCTTTTGTCTGCAATGAAAATAAAGTTAAATCAGTGAATCATAAAATATTAGTATTAAGATTAGATGAAATCGGAGAGGAGTATGCCCAACGGTGAGCAAAATAGACGCTGATGAAGGAGATGAAGTAATATGGTGTTATTTATTAACAACGGTTCCTTTGCGGAGTAAAAAATATTCAATTGCTACAAGGACGCTCTTTATTATTTCACATTCATCTTATCATAAGCCAAATGTATGAAAAGATGAACACGAAGAAAGAAAGAGAGTCCATATAATAAGCAGCTGCTGATTTCTAACTCATAGTTGACTTACTTAGATTATTTGACCCCTATGTAACAGTTTAAACTTATGTATGATACGCTATATAAAAAATACTTATATCTTGCCAAAAGGATGCCACATAATTGTGTTATTAATTAGGAATTTTCACGTAAGAAATATACGGTAGGCAGGAATATTCTCTTCGTTTTAATTCAATACAAGTATTTTACATAAAGTAAAATACATTTCCAAGCCCTGTATTATTACTATATAACTTAAAATTACATTTTATATTCTTCGTTCACATCATCATCTAACGCAAAATAAATAACAAAAAATCTTTTAATTAAGGTCAAGGTCATAAAATTCCAACAGAAGATGATATATTTGAATTTTACTATTGTAGAATTATATATTAGTATTGAATGAATTTAGCTCTTCACTAGCAACTATTATTTAACTAACAATAAGAATCTATTAAAGACAATTAACAACAAAATAAATAACGTTTCTACTAATAGACTAATTTAACGGATTACTTTGTCTCAAAAAAGAGTTGAAACGAATTCCAATAATGATCAAGGATGACTGCGCGGGCACATCACGCGATTTTAATGAACTTCGAATTGGGGTTAAGGTGACCGTCATGCGGTAAGCTTCCTCAAAAATAATTTTATATAATCGCTAACTTATTGCAAAAGCATTAATATATGACATAATATTATTGTAGTTAATATATTAAAATAGGAACGAGCGGACAGTTTAGAAATGGAGGAACTTTTGAAATATTCGATATCGCATTCTTTGTATGTCCAAACTTCAAAAATTATATGATGTAATATTTTAAAATTATATTTTAACAAAGGATGAGTTTGTAAAACGATTGAACAAATTACACTCTTTTTATATTGAAATTTAATTCTACAATTTATTTTATATTTAATTTTATTGCAATTTAAAATAAAAGTACAAGGCAAGGTGCAACAGGAAATATACAATAATGATATCTCTGTCACTAATTTCCGGAAACTCAGTTCAAATTATTCGTTTCCTCGTATAAGATAATACTGTTAATGTACAATATTTAAAATTTTAAAAACACTTACCTTGATTTCCGGGTAGTAATAGAATCGAGCGCAACTTATAGCGTAACCGTTTGCTATAGAACCTCCTGGGCAAAATATACCATCGCCTTGGCCTTCATGCCACCCTACTATAGCTCTCATTTCTCGTAGGACCTCTTCCTCCATTAGTGTGAAGACAGGAGCCACTTCGAAGGTATAAACGCTTGGGTTCAATGCGTCTGTCAACCATTGACCAATCAATCCGTAAGGATCGACTGAAGAAAATAATTGATTGACAAAGTAAGGATGAGCCGTGTTGACCGAGTAACGTGCTACCTGTATGGAGATGAATAGGTTTATATTACATTTTATAATTTATTAATGGCGATTTTAAGCAACTATTTATTATTATTACATTTGATCAATTTTGCATTCGTAATGCTAAACTGAAAAATATTTTTAATGAAAATGCTTTAAAGTGCCAGACATGAAGTGAATTTTAAGATATTTTTCATTAAGAACTACCTAATTTAATTTATGAAATATTATATCCCGATTTCAATTAAGTATAGGGAAATTCCATGATCAAAGTCAACACAAATTTCTAATCAGTTTTAAAAATTCATAGTATTTTCAATAATGTATAAATAAAAATTCTCAAAGATTTCATCTAATTAATTCTAATAATATTTTCATATTATAATTAATTACTAAATGGGTATAGTGAAAAATATTCTTAATAAAAATTGCTTAAAAAGTCCACTTATCTTTAAGAATATATTCAGTATAACATTGTAAATGAAAAATTGATAAATATAAAAATTGGAACAAATTTTAATCTTTATCGAAAGTTTAAATATTTGTAAAAATATTTCTTTCGGCTGTTTGGGTGGATTGCCTGAACATTGATGAAAATACACTCTGTAGTAGCAAAAAGTAACAAGTGCTTGAAAAATTCGTCAGCCCTGTTAGGTCCTGGGTAGTTCAGTAGTCAGAGCAGTCGGCCGGATTGCGAAAGGTCATGGATTCAAGTCCCATCTTTTTTTAAGCATTTTTCATTAAGAAGTCTATAGTAATTTATAAAATTATTCCAGCATTCCATTTTAGGTAGAGCTGTTATTCCATACGAATATATATAACTTAACATGTGAACTCATACACGGTTTAGTGGTCTTATCTAATTAAATTTATCGTTTTTTGTAGGTCGCATAACGTTCTTAACCAGTAAACTAACGAATATCGATTACTTTACAAGTAAAAGCTGATCAATTTAATTGTAGATTGCAATAATCATTAAAATACTATCGCCATGAGTTAGAGAACAAAATTGTTTAAATTGCGATAGATAACTTTGTTGACCAAGACTCGCAAGGCATACGTGAATTGAATGGGATGCGACTGTAAGAATAACTACATTTAGTGAGAACTAAAATTATGTTAAATTATTGTTTAATAGGAAATTACTAAGCTCTATAATTTATACGTTATTATATGGTCAGTTTCATTAGCTAAAGATACATTTATAAAATGCCTTAAATAGTTCCCACGAAAATCGCAAAGTACCTAATGGTCAAAACCTCTTCAAGTCAAAGGATATCTTTTTTATTTTATTTTTTATTAAAAATTTCCACACTCATATCTGATTAAACTTTGAACGTTGTTATATTGTCTATTTAAATAAACTTTGAATATAAACTTTGAATGTAGTGGTACTGTTATCCCCAAATAGTCATATTAACTCAAAATAAGAGAACTTTACTAATAAAAACAAGAGGCAAAAAGTTACATTAATTTTTTATACAAAAGTTCGAATAAATGTCGAAACAAATTCTACCGAAGTATTAATATTCGTAATACAAATTTAATACTATTTATGCGAAATTTCTATATTAGGTACTTTATTTTCTTTTAATGTCTTAAGAATCATGAATAGTCAATCTAAATAAAGTAAGTTCCCAAATAATTCTTAGTTAATCTTTAAAAAAAAAAATAAACAAAAAATAAATTTGGGAGAGCAAAATTTGAGAAAATGAGGAAGATTAAAAGATTTTCATGTTTGGAAAAGTAATATAAAATCGACAGAATAGTTTACTTACATCAGCCATAATGCCTAACAGTTGGTCGTGCGACACCGGTCCATCCCTAGGCTTTAAGTCTATTGCTTTTTTAATATCCTCCGGTGTAGTCCATTCCACCACCTTTGAGTTCCTAGTGGACCTTCCAAAGACCACCCGTTCAACGAGAAGATCAACAGCTCGTCTTAGGAAATCCTCGTGTTTCGATCTTTCCGACAATGATCTGAACAGATTCTCGTCTACTCTTTCCTCCACAGGGAGAATTAGATCGGAATCGGCCGGCATTTTACACTTCACTATAGAATTCCTTTTTTGAAATTTAAAAAGAAGCGTAACATTTGTTTTTTTATTTATTGTTTGCCTCTGCGGCGGGCCGCTTGCGAATCAGCCAGCCTTTGCGCACTCATTCAGCGGGCAACCTTCTTAAATACGAACGCACTACGTCAATGTTGGTAAGGTTATTTTAACCGCTCTAGTAAATGGTAAATAAATACACGTAGGTATAACAAATTAAGCTAGATAGCATTCGGTTTTTCTACAGACACTCAACTGATTTAAGTTCGCATTGCATTTCGAATCTCTACGTCAAAACTGGCCACCTTGACACTTTCACGAAGGAATTAGATTTAAATAAAATTGGAACTAATCGACTGACACTTTCGAGAACCCTTCGGCATGGGTTCTAGGTAGGTCTTTATACCATACATTTTTTTACCATACGAGTTTTTTTAGCTCATAGAGATAAATAATGAGATGAGAACTATGCTTTCTTTTATCTAGACCAAATTAGAGATACATGTGAACATTTATTAAAATCTGCTCAATGGTTTTGCAGTTATAGAGTTCGTATTTGTTTTGTTGTGAAAATAAAACTACTGCTTCGTTTTCGATAAAATTTAGGTGGGACCATCTCGGGCAGTTAATCTGTCACCGTCGAACATCCTTTCTTTCTTCCTTTTCGATTTCGAAGTCGGTTAAAAACACAATACTAAGTTTGACAAACATACTCTGACACTAGTGTACACATAAACTACACTTGTCTGAACTTTACTGAATATGAAAAAAATCTTTAATAATAAAATCTTATAATGTTCATTTGTGACCCAATTTCGACCATAGGGAGACCAGTATTTAGTCATTATAATTATCTTTCAGATGTTTCAATTTGATCTAAACTAAGACTACTTATAATTAAAAAGTGACTACAGGAACTATAGTAAAAATAAAATTATCAACTGTGTTTATTTACATTATTTTTACTTAAGTAGTTAATAGTCTATCGTCTACTTATGTACATTGAATAAGAACGTCGTCATACATCTATTTCTCAGAATTCATAATAATTCCTTAGAATATACTAATGGGAAATTTCACTTGCATTTCCTTCCCGTAACCTTGACCCTCATCTTTTTGCTACAAATCTGATTGCCTCGAACCGCATGACCTTTGACACTTGACTAATCAACTGCTCAATAAAACAAAACGTGGTGGCCATCGTTTAATTGATTAAGAGGGCGTCTTAAACAAAAATCCCTCACTTTTAATCAGTTTTTTATACATGGTACGACATCAGGTTACCACAACTGCAACTGATTTTAAATTCTATCCTTAATGCATTACGTTTACATTCAAGTGGAAAATTTGACAGGTTTGTATAGTCTGACGTGCTTTGGCTCTAGAGAGGTTTTTTTTACCAAATTCAAGAATCAATCGGAAATAAGAAAACCATTTCATATTTTAGGCCAAAACATGTTTTCTCAATAAAAAAAATCGAATTAGGCACCTTTAATATTCACCATTTTGAATGTTTCGTCTCGTTTCGAAACTCTTTTATTAAAAGAGAAATTGATAAATATCCTAAGCCCACTTTGTAGCCGTATCAATTCAACAATGAAATTCTTTCGGCGTAGTCCTTGTCACTTAACAAGCAACAGCAGGGTGTGTGGGGCTCTCCTCCGTAGGTACGCGGCAGTGACCTACCCAGTGGGTGCCCGGGGGCCTACCCACCGAAACCCTTACGATGCACCCTCTCATGGAAGATGACACCGGGAAGCCAGAACACTCACCCCGCAAGAAGGTAGTTACCTAATTATAAAAAAGTTTTTATCACTCTCATTCACGTTTGACGTCATGCTCTGACCCTATCTATACCTGCCATAGACGAGCGCTATTATTTCAAAAGATATATGTATAATTATTTTTATGTATAAATATTTCCAGGGACTGAGATGCTTCCAGGGACCACCTGTGGTCCGTAGGTCACCCATTAAATAAAGCACTGATATACCTTTAGCCAAATTCATTTTGTTGGGCTACTTTTAGACCGGAACAAAAATTTCCTTGCCTTCAGATCTTTCTCTCAAAGTTTCGAGGTGTCCAAGTTTTCTCTAAACGATAATTTTTTAAAGGCGGTAGTATTTTACGAGCGTTTAATGAACATGTACATATGTCAAAATAATGTTTTAACTAAATTAAGGTCGTAATTTATTATCAGTAAATTTATGCAGATTTATAATCAATCGATTTTAATATTTTCACCTATGAGAAGCTGTAGTTTCTCAACATCATACGTGGGTGACATAGGCTTTAATTAATGCGGGTAAAGACAGTTACTAACATAAAATCATGGCGTCACATCTGACTGAAGTTGGACTGAAGTGTTTCAGTGCCTATCAACTTTAACATAATCTTCACCATCAACCTATTATTTTCCCCACTGCTTTGACACATGCTATCTGTATCGAAGGAATCGAATTGAATATATTATAGTAACATTAGCAGAATTAAGGCCCTGTGTCAGTACTGTGCTGACAAGGATTCGTTATTGATAAATGTGAATAAAGCTTAATAATATTCAAACTTTATGATAGAATCACAACAAGTGAACTACCATTAATATTAAGAAACCCAATAAATAACTCTGAAAAGATATATGAATACTTTGAACTTTAAACCTCATTACGTATTATACCTATATCATGTCTATTGAATAGATTCTGAAAAGAGACGTTAAGTTGATTAAAAGTCCAATTTTGGGTTTGAAAAATGTTTCACTAGCATTAAAGAAAGTCTATTCAATAAATGGGTGATTAGGTTACGTACATTACTGATATAAATTTTTATTTACAAATCCACTTAAACTAAGTACTTCAAAAGGAATCTGGGTTATATTTTAAACATAAGTAAGTTGTGATAAGATTCAATGGCATATACATCTATCAAGGACACGGTAGAGGGGTCTCAAAGTTAGATAATGGAAAAAACCATAATAACTCTCTCATTTGGTGGACTTTTATTACCGCCAAGTTATTATAGGAAAATGGAAGTATTTAATTAAGATTTTAGACAAAAACTATCATGGTACTTCGACACATATTTGTAAAATGTCTTACTTGGTCCAGTCACAATTTTCTTTCAATCGATCACTCGATCGATCACAAACAATTAAGTAACAACTATACATTAAATGCGTAAACCTAAATTTTAGGTAAGTAGGTATTCATATAAGTATGTATTTTATTTTTAAAGGTAATAAATTTTCGCTGTGTAAAATTACTGTATTTTTAATTTAATATTGTTAAATTAAGGCGGTGAATAGCTTTGGAGAGATAACGTAACCCTGCTTTACGTTATCTCTCCAAAGCTATTCACCGCTGCGTTGGAGGATATTTTCAAGCTTCTAGATTATAGATACGGCATCAATATTAATGCCGAGTATTTTACACACCTATGCTTTGCTGATGATGTAGTCCTAATGGCTGAGACCTTGGAAGACCTGATCAACATACTTGAAGATCTCAGTAGTGCATCCCAAAGAGTGTAAAGAGTAGAGAGATAAGATTAAAATCATGTCGAACTTCCATGTTGTACCCACTCCTGTAAAAATTGGGAATAATACTCTTGAAGTTGTCGACCATTATGTGTTCCTAGGACAGACAGTCCAGCTAGGCAAGTCCAACTTCGAGAAAGAGACCTCTCGTCGAATTCAGCTTGGATGGGCAGCGTTCGGGAAGCTACAAAAAATCTTCGCGTCAATTTACACACACAGTGTCTCAAGACCAATGTCTTCAATCAATGTGTGTTGCCAGTGATACTATGGATCTCATAAGAAGGCTCAAGGTCACCCAGCGGGTAATGGAGAGAGCAATGCTTGGTATCTCTCTACGTGATCGAATAAGGAAGCAGGAGATCCATAGGAGACCTAACGTTACTAACATTGCTCAAAGAATTGCTCAGCTGAAGTGGCAGTGGGCGGGACACATAGCAAGAAGAACTGATGGCCATTGGGGCAGAAGAGTTCAGGAATGGCGACCACGTACCGGACGACGCTCAATGGGTAGGTCTCCCACAAGGTGGACCGAAGATCTTTTAAAGGTTGCGGGAAGCTGCTGGATGGATGCTGGATCGTCGTAGAACTCTATGGGGGAGGCCTATGCTCAGCAGTGGGCTTCTTCCGGCTGATGATGATGATGATAAAATTACGAGATTTTGAAAACTCTTATATCATCATATTTGGGGTCGGTTAATGTGTATTGTTCTTCCATATAATTTTGATCAGCCGTCATATATCTCCATTCACTCCTTTCTTACTTTACATCTTTTTTCGGATTTCGTCTCCTTATCCTTATGGTTTTATTTCCTTTCACATTCAAGCTCTTAACCCTTTTTGATACTAAGATAATCTGTTGCTCCTCATTCTTTTTTATTTTAATTTTAGTAGCCATATGTGGTGATGGTTTTTATTAAATTTGGAATCATTCCACTGATTTTTTTTTCCAAAACCACTACGTGCTACACTAGCACCAAACATAATAATAAGTGATGAATAAGTGTTCACGGATAAATGGCACGGGTAAATACTATGGTCACGTGATTTAGGTTACGTGTCGGTTTTTTGGCGTACGTCAAAGGGTTTTCAACTATTTGTATGACTGCCACACTGTACAAAGTTAATAAAAAACTGCCATATTTTTCAAATTTCTCCATTCGATTTTAAACGTCGAAGTAAAGTATAAAATCATATTCGAAAATTCGACTAATTACTTTATTCGACAAATTACGAGTAATTAATAGAGTTCCGTTTTTACCTTTAAAGCTATCGTTTGATATAGATATTAATAAGCTATAGATTCCATTGCAATGCACGTTCAACGCGTTAAGAATTTGTATGGAGATTTGTAGTTTTTGTTACTTACCGCTAGAGGCACTGTACTTAAGTTTTTTTGAAATTTACGTTCTTGACAGTGAACGTAAATTTCGAAAAAAACTGACACTAAGCACACTTT